ATACTCACTCTTCACATCCACTTCTAACCCCCATGTCCTCTCAGCAGCCACCGTAGTCATCGAAGAAAACAGAGTTCGGGGGACGAAGGCTGGGCAAGCGACGAGTCTGCGCCGCCACGCGCTCGCCGAGAGGGCCCGTCAACTTTCGGGGTCTGGCACTGACCTCTGCGACAACGCCCTCGCTGCCCGCGAGTGCATCATGCTGGTGGCGCGCCCAGAGGCACGTTCCAGTGCGCATGCAAGGCAAGCTGAAACGTCCCAACGAACCTCACATATCATTGCGGTCCTTAGCTGCCCCAATACGCAACACACAACCCGTAGCGTGTCGACACGGAGCTCAACACGAAAACTGAAAACGAAGGTCTGGCACGATAAGTTTGCCAAAACGTGGGCCAACAAGCCAACACGTGCCGAACCAACACGCAGCGCGTTGACTCGGATGCTTCGAATACGGTACGTGTTGCGTTTCAACACTCACGCAGCCTATTCTCTATCAGGGGGTGTAGTGACCGAAACGGTGTCCGAGCAGATTCCCCAGTGTAACCGGATCGGGCACCCGAAATTTCCGATCGCGCCGTGGCCGAAGATTCCTATACACCTTCGGCCACGAATTCGGGCATGCGCTCGGTCACAAACCTCGTGGCTGATAGTTATTGGCTGGGCGCCGTGACAACACGGGCGTCCATATCAAGGCAACGGTCCTCCAAATCCGCCGACCCTGTCGGCGTGTGTGAGGGGCTTGTGCGTTCGAGTCGTCGTCTGAGCCATCCATGAGGACTCTGACCCCCGTCAGCGTCCAGTCGTCGCCGCCGCCGTTGTCGTCGTTCCCCTGCAGGGTCGGCGGCGCCGGCCGTGAGGCCTTCGCAGCACAGTGCTGCTGGGGCCCGCCCCCCACCCATCGTCGGCCCGCGGCCCGCCGGTCCGCCACCCGCCGCAGGGCGCCCGCCTGCCGGCCACCGCCCGCCGCTCGCCGTGGCGGGACCGAAGCGGCCATTTTGGCCTGATTGGTATTACTTGGAAGCGCCAGGGCGCCTTCTTTCTTTTTCCGTGCCCAAGGCTCTGCTGGTGTTGAAAGTGACAGAAGCTTTTTGTTTGAGCTTTTGTCATTACGTTTATGTTCAGGCTTTCTTTGTGTGCTCAAGCTTTATGTTTAAGCTGGTGCCGGCGCCTTTCGTTTTATGGTGAGCCTTCATGTTTAAGCTTTATGTTCAAGCCGGTGCCGGCGCCTTTCTTATGGTCAAGCTGTATTACCAGTGCTGAACATGAAAGAAGTCAAACACATTGTCACCGAAAAGAGCAACAAGCGGCTCAGGGATTGGAGACGCAGAATGAGGATGGAAACAACGGCGATAAAACCAGAGAAAGAATGGCGCCAGAACCAGGGAACGACGGCAAACCAAGAACGGGAAAAAAACGACCCTGTCTCTATCGGAACTGAAACCAATCTTGACAGGCGCCGATATTCTACACAATGCACAACGAGCCCGCCGCAAGTGCCGATGTACTTTCGTCGAAACAACGTGGCTGGGTCGCGGGAGGGTCGCGGGTGGGTCACGGGGTGGGTTTCGGGTGGGTCGCAGGGTGGATGACGACAACAAAACAACACAAAGAATCCGCGTCACGGAATCACACTTCAACCAAGCATTTGGAGACTGTGTGAACCGAATCGGCCCCCTCACTCTGACGATGATCAGTCTTGCCACAAAGAATCGCGGGGCACTTTCTTCGTCGAGGTTTTAGCTTCCCGAAGTGCCCCAAACCTTCTGCGGGACCCCCGAGGCCACTGGGCAACAAGAGTCTTCCGTGAGGCACCTGCTGGCAGGCTGATTTCTTGTCTCGTGTGCCTTCTGTGTGGGCTTGGGACGGCACGTGTGCGGTCAATGGCACGCGTGCGCGGCACGGTCGACGTGCGCGGAGGTCCCTCCTCGCAACCACCGGCGCGGGGGGGGGGGCTCGAGCCAAGATCGCCACGGTTAAGCCCTCCCTTCATCTCTGCCATTACACGTGCCACTATTTTGGGGGTTCCATCTACCATCCCATGTTGCTGCCTCATCCTGTCCTGAAATCTTCCTATCCTTCGTGTGTTATTGCTTCCGCTGGCGTTCAGCGCCCTTGGGCCAGGGCACCTGGGAGAAGTAAAAAATGCCACTCGATTCTGGTCCGACCCAAACCGATCCAGATCGACACGCCCTGGACCCGCGGGCGCCGCCCCCCCCCCCCGAACAACAAACATACGCCGGGCGTCCTGTTCGCCGCTCGGGCGTCCACGTTAGCTGGTTTTCGGAGCATCCGGAGCCACGACAAACTTCGGGCTGCGCACAGACAGCCCCCCCAACAAATACTCCCAGCTGGCCTCAACCGGCCCCCAGAGTAGTCCGGGGCGGTCTCAATACCTGGCGCCGGTTCCAGCAGCGCCCCTGGGGCGCTCTGTGCTCCAGGGTTGGGGTGTTGAGACTGCCTCAAGCTACTCGGGGGGCTGGATGAGGCCAGCAGGGACTACCTGTGCGGGGGAAGGCTGTCTTAGCGTAATACAGAAACCAGTATAAGCATGATGTCTCAGAGGTCCACGCGGATTTCGTGGATTGGCGCTGGGCCAGAGGCGCCGCCAGGAGGACCCAACGCCGATCCAAGAAATCCGCGCGGACCTCCGACGAACTACGTCTGTGCCTGCTTTTGTCCATCGACTCCCCCAATGGGCCAACAACGCTGCTGGGCTGCTGTCGGACGCCCAGCGGGCCCCGCAAGTCCCATGCGAGAGTGGGAGGTTTTGTCCACTGCCTGCAGTGGCTGCCGGACTGGTGTCGCACGCCCACCGGGCCCCGCAGGTCCCCTGCGAGAGGGGGTCTCTGCCCGCAGCAGCAGCACGGCGCACCGCCTAGAGGCCAGCTGTCGCCCAACTGGCTCCTCCTCCTCCTCCTCCTCCTCCAACTCCTCCTCCTCCTCTGATGGGCCTGTTTTCCACCGCCACCACCATAAGTTGGAGGGGGGAGGGAGGTGGAAGAAGAGGAGGAGGAGGAGGAGGAGCAGGAGGAGGAGGAGGAGGAGGAGGAGGAGCAGGAGGACCCCCTCCCCCGCCTACTTATGGTGGTGGTGGTGGAAAACAAGTCCACCATCCTCCGCCCACCGCCCTGCGAGCCCTCTGGAAGCTGCGCGGCGGAGGCGCCCTTTCCGCGACCAAAGGGCACAGGCTGTCGCGCGGCTCCGGATGGCAGGCTGGCACGGGGCCTCCGCGCAGGACGGGTGGCGGCGCGCAGAGGCGGACAGGAGGCTCCACGGGGGCGGCCTTCCAAGACGAACGCCGCCCCTCAGCAGGCTGCGGGGCGCCGCCCTCCGAGGAACCTTTTCACGTACCTCCAGGGAAGGCGGCGGTGTGTAAAGTCGCTTGCTCTCGGTGGTGATTGAAAATCACACAGCCTCCCTCCCCTGAGGCCCAGGAACAATCCATTGGGGGGGTGTCTGTGTGTACTTTCTTGTGGCGGATGGCTCCTCCCAAAGGCCCCCCACACCTCGTCTGAGAAGGCCACCCCCTTGCCCTCACAGACATCCGGCGCTCCTCCTCCTCCTCCTCCTCCTCCTCCTCCTCCTCCTCCTCCTCCTCCTCCTCCTCCTCCTCCTCCCGTGTCATTGCGTGGGGACAGCGGGCCTCTCTGGACCTTCTCCATGCGGTCTGCGCCTCCTCTCGAGCCCCTGCTCATGGCCCTCAGGCCCGCGACCAGGCTCCAAATGCCCAGGAGGAGGAGGAGGGGGAGGAGGAGAAGGAGGAGGGGGGGGAGGAGGAGGAGGAGGGAGGAGGAGGAGGAGGGAGGGAGGAGGAGGAGGAGGAGGAGGAGGAGGAGGAGGAGGAGGAGGAGGAGGAAGAGGAGGAGGAGGAGGAGGAACCTGTAAGTAACACCGACGGCCTCGACTGTCTCGATGCGCTGGATGTCTGGGCTGGTTCCTCTTGCCCGCCGCCCTACAGACAAAAATACAGGCGGACCATCTACGATGGAGGCCGCGCGAGGATCCGGCACCTGCGTGCGTCTAGTTCGTTCCTAAGCCTCGATTCTGTCCCGAGTGGGGCCTGTCCCTAGCTCGTTTCTGGTTTCGTTCCAGGCTCGATTCCTGTGGGAGTGGAGGGCGGTCGAAATAGACGGTTAGCTGAACATAGTTTAGCGATGCCCCGACGTTAGGATCAAGGAAACTTTGAAAAAAACACCACCGCGATAGCGAGGGCCTAGGGAGGGCCCCCATCGCGTCGTTGTCCCTCTACTTTGCGGCGTCCCGCTGGAGATATCCGTTTTGTCCAGCTCGGGAAGGCATCTTGGACCTCCTCACTGGAGGTGGCCCGCTGGTGACGGTGGTGGTCTTGCTTCACCTCTCTCCGACCTCCCCTGTGCTCCCAAGGAAGCAGACCTGCGCCCTCGCCACCAGAAAGGCGCTGCTTCTCCAGACCTCTGGCGACTCGAACGAATCGCGGAGGCCAGCCTGTCCACGTTCGCTGGAGGCCCGTTGCGGGCTCGGGGCCGTCCCAGGACGGCCCGAAGCCAGGCATCGGGGGAATGGTCGAGGCGTCCAGGGGACCACGTCGTGACGGTCGTGACGTCGGACGCCTGTGACCATCTGAATGACACGTTGCTCCCATCTGACCATGCAATACTCGGGAGCGGCCAAGAGGGGGGTGTCCAAGAGGGGGGGGTGCAAATCATGACCGGCGGCATGTGCGCGGCCCAGCGGGCGGGCCAGGGACGTAATGAAATAAGAAGAGGCGCCATGAAATCTGGGGAGATATCATGGCCCCCGCCATGATATCCACCCCCCCCTAGTCATCACCCCCTTCTTTTCCGCTCCCGAAATACGGATCATCACGCTGACTCGTGGCCGGAACCCCTGCCTTCCCTGTCCAGGCGCCCTCGCACAACAGGGCGGCGATTGCTAGACAAACGCTCACGCAGTCCATGCTGACAGCAGCGCCGTCGCCTGAAAAAAGCAGGTGGCGAACGAAAAGCGATTGGGTGCTTGTGTCACAGGTCGAAGTTGCCAGTAGCAGCCGCTCTCCTGGCGCTGACCTCGAAGTCGTCCCCCAACCCTTCTCGCACAGCGTTGTAGACCTCTTCCCGCTGGGCCTCCGAAGCAGCAGAGGGTACGGCAGAAGCAAGGCGAAAGGTCGGATGAGGAAGGGAGGGAACTCTTCAGCCACGTGCGCGTGGACATTCTATCCTCGTAGTTCGGTAGTTATGCGACGTATGGACAGTCGTAATAGAACACCCCTCTTATGAATCCAGGTGAACAAAATTTCGAAACCAAGCAAACGCTATTATGGAATATCCCGCTCTGCCGTTGGAATGCAACATCGAGCAGACTCCGCAGTATACCGCGTGCCGTGCAGACACTTAACCATTACTTCGGCAAAACATACAAACACGTCGCCCGCCCTGTCACTCCCAAACTGGACATGTAGCCCAACACACCGCAACAACGTGCTCGTGCTCATCTGTCCTGCGTTTGATCCTTCCGCCCCTGCGTTTTCATCTGGTGCATACCGTATCCCTTCTCATACTGCTGCTGCGTCCCCTCCACACCCCATTCTACCACGCCCTCCCCCCATCATCTAACAACGTCCCAAAGCGATCCGTTTCTTTTGATGGTCCTCCTCCTCCTCTCCCAAGCGCTTCCCCTCCCTGCTCCCACCCTCCCGATCCTCTCTTCCCTCCCGATGCCCTCCCCCGTCCTCCCTTCTTCTCCTGGCCCACCTCCGTTCGATGTCCTCCCTCCTCCCTCCTCCTCCTCCTCCTCCTCCTCCTCGTGTTCCTCCTCCTCCTCCTCCTCCTCCTCCCTCATCCTCCTCCTCTACTCTACGGCTACGCCTACGGGTACGAGCTTGGACGCAGCAGGACGGAAAATGCCAGGTACGATCGGTATGTGCTGGCACGTTCGACATACATTCAGTCAGGCAATGCTCACACTTGGGTGCCATCCTCGACGAGCGAGCGTGGGGCCGTCGGTCCAGAAATATCGCGCATGCTTGCAGGCATTTCGCAATCCTCTCATGCCCTCGGTCGCAAGTTCTTCAAGGCCGTCAAGCACGAGCACGATACACTCGACATGGAGATGAACCGTGTTCACACTCTTGTCACATCCTCGCTCGTGCACACTGTTGGCACGTGACTGAACACAGAAACGAGCGCCTACCGCACGGTGCGTAACAACGGCGTGCGCAGGTATCGGTCAGCAGCAGGTCTGCAGCAACACGATGAGCACACACTTCCCATCTCCGAAATACTCGCAATTGCATCAAGGCCCAGCCGCGACATCAACTTAGAAACCATCGGCTTAGGATTCGCGGGAGGCTCCTCCACTTTGGGTCGGACCTCCTCCATGGCCTCACTACCCTAACCTACCGCTTGGCTTCACCACATCATGGACGACTTCAGGTGGCTCCGCTCGGCCTACAAGACTGCTCACGACATTCCTGACGCGGGAGGGGGCCTCTACAGATTGGAGGTCCACATCAAGAGCTCGCTACCATCGTGGCGTAAGGTGCTTCGGCACACACCAACAGGCCATGCACGGGCTGCTGCTAGACAGGTCACGGCTGACACGGCCGAGAGAGATTGTTGTTCAGTTGCACGCGCAGGAGGCGTCCCACTCCCTGTCACTCACCCTGAGCATCCCCATGCAGGTCCGCAGCCACATATTTGCCCACGGTGAAATACACATGTTCACTCAGCTAACGCACTACGCCAGCACACCAGACGGTAGCTAGAATGGAGGAGTTGGTAAGTGGCGCCTCGCCCACATGAAGAGCTTGCTCGACACAATTTGCTTCCAGGCGCCAGCTACGAGATCCTGTAGTTTTTGATGCGCCGAGATGCTCACTCTCACTGTGTGCATGACACACAGCTGGACGACACAACGGCAAGCAAACAGCAGCAGCGGATGTGCAGCAGTGTGCTGAACGGCACAGGGCAGGTCTGGGAAGGTGGAAAGCAGCGCATCAGGCTGCACATGCATCATGCGATGAAGGTCTGCTCTTGGCATCGGCTTGGGCATTTTCACAGCTTTTCCGACGAGGCAGCCGAGAAAACACTCTGCGACGTGGACGACGCCACTCGACGAAAGCTGGAAGCGGTCTGGCGCCGACCCGGCCATCAAACCCCAACCTCTCCGCCAAGCTTGTTTTGCTCTGGGCCAGCACGGCTTCTTTCGGATCCAGGACTTTCAGGGAACCTCTACACTACACATTTCCAAGAGGCTACGTCGACTGGAGATCTCCGTACTCAATCATCTTTGCGGTCGCCGCCGTGAGGGAGGCATACAGCATCAGGTTGAAGAGACGCATGTGCAAAGTAAAAACCACTATCATCACCCTAGCTCTCGAAATATCGATCGATGGGCGAACACGGCGCAGCAGTGGACTGCTCATTTTCATTCTAAGAGGGTGTGGGCTACTGGGGGGGGAGGGCGGGGGGAGCTTTGCGATTCTTGGAGCGCAGCCAGATTGCTCGAGGCCCCCCCCCACACTTCGCCCGAATCAACTCTTTCGGGGAGTCTCGTGGGTCACATATGCCCAAGCCTTGCAGCTGGAGACTGGGAACGAATTATTACACAGTATTACCCTACTCCTAGTTGTGCACGTTCAGGTTGGTACTTGTGGCCGGTTGGCACATCCAATCCCAGCTACGAGGCGCCTCTAAGCCCCATCGAGCTTCTCATGGATACCCGCAAACCCTCAAGAGCCCTTGACTGCTGCCATCAACTTCGGCCAGTTTCTGTTGAACGACGCCCCTCCAGACAATACAGGACGTGCTCCAACTTGTGGTTGTGCTCTCCGCCTCCCAATCCTACATGGGCTTCTTATCCAAAACGATGGGGGATTCGATGATCATTAAACACGACAAAGGGACACACACTATCCTTCAGGAGAAAACTGGGATTCTCGTTTTTAGGGGGCGCTCGGAAAAAAAACATGTCCCGATCGGTGTAATAATGATATAGCTCGGCAAGCATGTGACTGCAAAGATGAGGACTTAAAGAGGTGACCGCAACATCGGACGAGAGCGCAGGAATAACACAGCTTCGAGAATGTCATGTCACATGGGACTCACCCTCCTGGGAATCTCCCAACTTTGCAAGTCCCGACGCGACTTCCAGGAAACGTTGTGATCCGGAGATTTCCAGATGGCTCCCTCCCTCCTCCCCCACCTCCTCCCCCGCCGAGGAGCTGTTCCCCTCCCCGCCGAGGAGCGAGGGGCTTGCGTTGCCTCGATGCCGTGCCCCGAAATCCAGCCCAAGGAGGCCCAGCCCGAGCTGCATGAGGATGTGGTCCCCCCCTCCTTCTTCCTGGCCTCGCCTCCCCCTGGAGGAGGAGGAGGAGGAGGAGGAGGAGGAGGAGGAGGAGGAGGAGGAGGAGGAGGAGCTCACCCCCCCCTCCACCCCCGGTCCTCGTAGCATCGCAGAGAGCTCGTATCCATTCCAGCGGGGCTGCGGGGAGAGAGAAGCGCCGTCAAGGCGTGGCGACCTGGTCCTTCAAGGCCGTTCTGTGGCCAGGAGACTAACTCTCGTGTTCCGTTTCCCGCTCTCGGTGAGTTTTCCAACTGCCTATTCCATGGATTGTCCACTGTCTGAGCTCTCATTGAAAATGACTTGAACGCCCATTCCACCGTCCGCCGCCGCATCCTCCTCCTCTACCGCCTCCTCCTTCCTCCCGCAACTCCTCGACGAGGCGGCGGCAGGGCGACGACGACAACGTCCTCCCTGCCGCACCGTTTAGAAGAAAGGAGGAAGGAATCAACCCGAACTTTCAGAGCCGCGCGGGGCTCTTGGGTTAGCGCTGGACCCCCCCCTCTCTGACTCGCGGAGAGCGCCGAGGGCGGCGCAGGAAGCGCCGCCAGGGGGGCCCAACGCCGACCCAAGAAATCCGCGCGGAGCCCCGACCGCTTAATGCTTGTGCCGATCTGCTCTCCTTCGGGAGCTGCGGCCGGCAGGGCGAGCGCTATCAGGACCTCGGAAGAGGAGGCCGTCACCGACAGGACGGGGCCGGCTCCGCCGCTCGCCTTGCTGAGTACTTCCGCCCGGAGCGCGGCGCATCGCGAGCTTGGGCGTCGGGCGTGCGATCGCAGTACATGTAGCGTGCGGCTGCAACCTCTGCTGGCGAACCGTCCGGTGCAAGGGCTTCTGGCTGACTGTTCTGCCACCTCCTCCTTCCTGCACCTCCTCCTCCTCCTCCTCCTCCTTCTCGAGTCCGTAGCCATTTTGGCTCAAGATGCCTTTCGTGCGGGCTGAGCCCGCATTGGCTGAACTGGATACCGCTAGTCCGCGGCAGTGCCAGGGTGCTTGCGCCCGACATCCTCTTTGCGAGGGCTGGTCCGCCCCAGTCCATCGCCTGCCCCCTTCACTGGGAGAGCAGCCTTCCTCGCATCGGCCATGGGAGGCGGCGGCAAGAAGGGCGGCGGCAGGAAAGGCTTTGGCGGAGGTCGCTCGGCTCCAGCGGCAGGGGCCAAGACGACGTACATCACATGCACTTCCTGCAGATTCCGCTGGAACTTCAAGAACAACCACTGGTGCTACCAGTGCGGAGGCGCCATGGTGCCGAGCCCATCGGAGGACAAGCGTCCCCGCGGCCAGTGGGTTTGGGGCCCGCCGCAGGCGGGCGCAACGCCTCCTCCTGAGGCAGAGCCTGCGGCAGAGGCCCCTGCGGCTCCTCCCTGGGCTCAAGCAGGAGGCAAAGGCGCCAAGGGACCACCTTTGCCCCGGCCCGCGCCGAAGGCCCAGGCCGTCCAGCGTCGGCCATGGGTCTACCAGCAGGCGGGCTGGGTGCCTCATGGTGGCCGCGTGGGGCAGCAGCAGCAGCAGCAGCAGCCCGCCCAGGCCGCTGACCCCTTCGAGTTCTTCGAGAAGGAGCTTGGCTCGGACTGCGACGAGCTTCTCAAGCTCAAGGCGGCGGTGCAGGCCAAGAAGGAGGCACAGGCAGCTGCTGCAGGCGCGGGTGCCCCGCAGAAGGCGCTACTCCTTGAGGAGGAAGTGCGGGCCAAAGGCGTGGCTTGCAGGAGGGCGCTGGCATGGCTTGAGACCTGCTCGGCCCGCGTCCTGGAGAGCAAGCAGTGGCTTGCTGACGCCCAGGCCG